AGTTCAACGAAATGATCAGGTTAGTGATCGAATAGACTTAAATCTTACCTTGTCAGTTATGTTTTGAATGTTAAGCTTTTTCTGGATTTTTTTATGAATCATTGCAAGAAATAAAAGAAATAACAAAATTGTTGAATTTACGAACTTTTTAATATTATTATTATCATAGCATGCTAATAAATTGTTTAGTCAAATACGGCACGTCAAATACGGCACTAAAAAACACATTCTCTTAGAAAATAACAAATAATAGAACGATCTTTTGCTAATAATTACTAGTATTTCATATACTTGATATACTTGTCGTTTGATGGGCGTATATTCTATAAGGAATTTTTTATATACAAGTATAACAAAAAATTCTTGATATTAATATTCTTTATTTATTAGACACACCAGAATTACTTGCAGACTTGATAATTAAATGTTGGGATGATAAAACAGAAAATAGACCAACTGCTAAAGAATTATATCAAATCTTAAATACTATAATACTATAATATTAAAATTATAAAATTATAAAATGTCGTGAAAATCAAATAATAAATCTCATGATAATAAATAAATTTTATTACTTTTTTAGTATTTGCATCCTTTTTCTTTGTTACAAAATAAATCTTTTCAAAAAAAAAAAATTCATTAAATCATAAAAATTAATTATCGAAAATAATTCGTAAAATACAAATACCAGTAGTAAATAATGCATATTTCCGTCATAGCCAAAAATAATTCAGTCCAACTACTTGTTGATGCAGGTAAATTGTTCATCTAAAATGTCGTACCCGAATTCTTATCAATAAATTATAAGCAATATTTTGAATTAATTCACTTACAGCTTTGGTAAAGGCTAATATTTTATATGAAATTGGACCAATAAAGCATATAGTATGTGTTTAGACGAAATTATCAACTCTACAGTAATATACACTGTTGTTTGTCTTTTTTAGAACGATACTTCACTTCATTGAAGGTCTTTTCTACAAAACTGGTAAACCGGTAAAGTATATGGACCAATAAAGTAAGTAAGTACATGGGTAAATAATATCAAAAGCATTTTCAATAAAAGGTAGTTAAAGATCGTACTTGCAATAATATCTGTGTGTAATGCAAAAGTATATTTTCTTGGAAAGATTGTCCAGTAATATTCTACCACCCATATTCCACCAACCTACTGTATATCTAACAGTTGATTCAAGCGTGATGATAGAATTCGTACATAATCATGTCGATAAACTGTTTTCCTGCGTATACCGCATATTCTCGTCGTTCAGCAAATTCTCAAGTTCTGAAAATGATTTCCCCAATATCAATATAGAAATGTTCTTACCTACATTCTGTGCGTAATATACAGTACATTATTTCTCTTTTGGAAGACAATTTTTATAAAAGTCGAATTGTTGCCTTACAGATTATTGACAACTACGAAAGTATGACAAAGTTGCAAGTGGTTAAAGAATTCTGAAAATTTCTTAGACCTAAGTACTATCCAATTATACCCATATACCAGGATCAAACTTTAAAGAAAATATCTCACGTAATATTGTTAATGAAACCAGTCAATACCTACCTCAATTGTTACTTCCAAAACTGAAGATTAAAAATAACTCCTCAACATAAATAATTAATACGTTCCTAAGTAGTTGACTTTGAAGAAAAAAACTAAAATTATATTATTAGATTTGCATGTAATCATGTAATCCAATATGGCAATACACATTAGTGATCGACAATGATCTGCAAATCTAACAACAATGAAGTGATCAACAAGGATCGGCGAACGTGAAAATAAAGGTTTTCGATAAAGTACTGTATATAATGTTTTGTCACTATAGTTACTAATATTAAATAAACATCTATAAAATAATTTTGGGAAATATAATATTTGAAGATATGATCAAACTCTTCCTAAAGGAAAAATTAGAAAATTATCAATAATTATAATAATTATGTTAAATTTCTAATGAATTTTAATGCTTCATCTTGAAAAACTTTCTAAAAGGAAATAAGATAATTTATAAATAAGTAGAAAATCTCATAGATTTACTTATTATAACATTAGATCTCTTACCATATAACTCATGATATCCTATACCATCTTGTTTAATGACAAGATGATGATAATATGTTATTCTTGGCGATGTTATTCTTGACGATGAAATATAATCAATATAATCAAATACATACGTATTTTTTTTTAAATAAACTAGTACTTTCTATGTAATCTATGTAATCTATGTAATCCTTTTCAAATTAGCTAAATCAGAATTAAGATATAAGCTAAGTAAGTAAGGTTATTATCGTAAAATTTTAAAAAGCGTGTTGATAAAGAAAAATCGACAAGATATTATTTGAACAGAGTAAATTGACTCATTTTTAATATATTTTATTACCTTTTATGATGTTAATCCGATATATAGGATATATTCTATCAATGAATTCCAAGCATTTCACCGTTTTAAACACGAATATATTACTTTAACATTATTAATTATTATATTTACGAATTAATTTTTCTTTACAATAACGTAATAAATAAAAAAGTAGTATCATAAAAATTTTTGAAAAAAATGTAAAAAATGAACTATTTAATGAACTATATAACCATATTAACTATTTACCCATTTTAATCCATTTTAACCCGTAAATTATTTTCTTTGTGTAATTGATTTCTGGCTTAGGGGTATATTACCATATTTGTTTATTATGAATTTAATCAATTTAGAAAGAATATTTGAGGGGTTTGAATTAAACGGGTTAAATGAAACTTAGTAAATTGTTCGGAAAAATACGGAAAATCGGAATGTTTATGTTGTACTTGCATAGAAACCATAAAGGGGCATTTAAACATATGCTATATGAGATAGATAGAGATAGAGGAAATAGAGGATGTTTAATATGTTTAATACTTGAAAAAGATGAGCGAAATCGGAATTTTTCGGTATTGTGTTAACAGTATACAAGGGATATTTATTATCTACGTTTTATCTCCGTATTTTTTCAAAAAAAAAAAAGAAAATTATTTAATTAAAGAGAATATTCTAATTAACTATTAAAAATAGTTTCTATTAAACATATGCAATACAAACATCATGACGGCTGTCCAACCCACCAGCCTCATTCTCGTGTTACTATCCTTGACGACTTGACCAGCATATATTGTAACAATACATACATATTAATGAGGACACAGGTCATTTTTAGGTACTGTGATATCTTTTGTAACCCTGTTTAAAACTTTACTACATCTTTATTCGCGTAACATCTAATTATTTAACTAACAGATATTTACTAAAAGATTTTTATTTGAATAAAAAAAATATTTTTACGTGAAAGAACTGTGAGAACTGGGAAAGACTATTCGGACGGACGGATGCAACTTGTATGAATCAGTTGAATCACGTCATAGTACATTATTTGTAACAAAAATTTATTTCATTGTAAATCACAAATCATAAAAGGATATAATGAAATAATACTTCAATTATTAACCTATTAAGGATGTTATAATAACTTTTTAACAAAAAATCATTCATTGATATTATCCATTTAAGTAATTAAAGTTAAAAAAAATATGAACAATAAAGAACAAAATAAGATGATGATTTATATTGTTACATAACAAAACAGATTGCTCAATTGAATGTTATACCAATCTAAAATTTAAGGAAATTACCCAGATATTCAAGGTATATTTATTCAAAGGATATTAATGTTTAATTTTGGTGTTACAAACTCTTTCATTTTATTCCTTTCATTGTATCCATGAGATTTGTTGGATTTACACATAACTTTTACACATGTCTCTTTTTAAAATGAATAAATTTACGTCATATGAATATTGTGTGTAATTTAACATTGTCTATTGAACCTCCGAAATTGAATCCTTTATGCATATAAGGTTGACTCCGTAAACTTAAAACAAGGTAACCCGCTTTATCCAATAGCCATAAATCTATTACTGAATTCATATTAAACACGTCATGATGTAAAATTACACACATTACACATATTGGTAAGTTATTCATGCAAGATTACGACAAAAATGTAAAACTATTTTGGTTTGACAAAAAGCACACGATTATGTCCAAATCGGGCAAGAAATGTAACATGTATTGGGAGCCAATCCACGAGAAAATCTAATATCCGAATTGACAAAAGTTTTTGATAATTTGGTCAAAGAAACTAAAGAAGACTAAAAAAAGTTATTTAATTTAATGTAAAAAATTATAGAATTCAAAAGAATTTAATCTTTGAGCTTATTAGATAGGAAAGTATGAACCTGCCTTTATAAATAAAATAAATAATTTATATAACATCAGTTTTTTACAGATTTTTCTCGAAAGATTTCAAAATCATGCCCCAAAAATTGCAAGGATATTGCAGATTTCTCATAAGGTTAATTCTATAATTAGATTTATAGATATTAAAGGGCTTTCTTTTTTACTTTTGATTTTGTATGCAAAATCTTTTGATTTGATTGTAAATTATATTCCTTTTTTTTTACTAAATGAAGATGTAACTTACGCAATTTGCCATGTTACGTATGTTTACGTATGTGATATTCAATCAACTTTTTACATTATTGGTTTGGCAATTTAAAGTAAACCCGAAACTAAAATTATTTGGTTCTTCCTTACAAAAAAATTTTTTTTTTTTTTTAACCGAAAATCTGTAACGACCTTATATGAACGACATTGTAGAATAAAACTATACAAAAAAAANAAAAAAAAAAAAGTTCTTTGTTGGACGATTGTTGGACGATTGTTGGACGATCAAAAAATTCATTTCCTTTCTAAGTATAAAAGATTTTAAAAGTTTATGTAACAGTTTAGTAGTAAGTATGTATAACAGTTTTTAATAGAAAGTATTTTTTTCTTTCTTTCTTAAAAGAAAAATTATAAATCAAGGAATAATAATTTCGTAGAAAAAAGAAAAACCCTTTTTTATATAAATATAAAAAAAGATCTATTGATGTACTGTTCTGTTATTTTTGTTATTTTTAAAAAATTTTTTTTTTTTGACTTAGGGGAAAAAAAAACTTATGTCTCTATTTTAGTATTTATAATGGTAAGATGACTTATTTTATTTATTTAGTATATTATATATATACTACTATAATGAATTAAATTATAAAACGAAAAAAAAAAGTCCTTTTTTCTTCATCTTTTTTGAACGTTTTTCGATTATTAATCATCAAGAATATTTGAATCAGAAGTCGATGTATCTTGATGATGATTCCATGATTGAGAAGGTAACGTTGATTCGAAGATTTTCCTTCTAGCGGATTCCTCCTTTTCTTTTTCAACTCTATTTGCTTTAAACATGTATTCGTGAATCCTTTCACTACATTTTTCAAGTATTTCATATACTTGTTTCGTCTCTTGAGATGATTCACCCCAAAGAGAAGCTAAAATGTTGATTTCTTGATCCAGGGTTTTAGTTGATGAAGTAGAAGAATAACCATTCAAATTTCTACCAGAATTAGGACGAGAGATGGAAGTAGAAGGAGAAATATTCGTACAACTTGCAACAATCGGGTTAGCGGATAATTTTGGTTTAGGTGATAAAATTTCTTTATGTATTAGATTAATGTAATCACGTTTAAAAAGTGTACGAGCGCTTAAATGATGATGAAATGCGTATGGCGATTTACACTTGTGAGACGGGATTAGAAGACCATGTAACGGTTGATTAATTGTTTTTTCAATGAATTCGCGTGTAATTGAAGAAGGATATGAATCTATTGTGGAGTCTATGATATGGTCGAGAGATTTAGGATCAGGAATTGGATGGTCATATTTACAATCTGGGTCATGTGAGTATATATCATCTATCGTTTGTTGGGATGTATTGTTATCATCTTGTGAAGAAGAAGACATTCTTTTTTTTTTTTT